AGCTGGGGGCGGTCCAGCTCCGTAGCCGCGCTGGTGATGCCGCAGCGGGGGCAAGCTTCCAGTCATCCCGTGTCCCTGTGGCATTTTGTTGCTGCTGGCAGTCCTTCAGGCTTTTGACACTGGAATAACTAAATTCTGATGTTGCACAAATAATGATAAAACATTCAGGCGATGTTGAGTATTGAGATAGCTTTGTGGAAATGTCTGTAGTGACTAAATAAGATGTTGGTCAGTAAATTCAAATGCAGCTTACTTTTGGCTAGTGAAAGTACAGCTTTTCTGATATTTCTCTTTGAAAAGAATTTTTCACTTATAACTAGTCAAAACAAGAGATTCTTCTGAACATACTGTTGTTGTTTGGTTTATGTGTACGTGTGACCTTTGTTTCTTCTGTCCTCAACTCCTGCCCTGTCCATGTTGCAGTTTTCCTCATTCTTGAGGGGTTTTTTTTGAATGTGGGACAAAAGTAACCAAGTGTTTACGCTGCACAAACCTTCATCTCGCAAGATGAATTTATTCCGAGTTCAGAAGATGCTGGAGAGCGGAGCAGTGAGCTGACGTAGCAGCACGTGTAGCACGTCCTCTCCTGACCCTCTCCCCTGGCCCCAAACACGCCTGGCAAATGGAGGTTTGGCGCTCTGCCACGGCTGATTACGAAAGGCTTTCTGTGTCCTACTTCTCTGAACAAAGGCCGCTCTGAGGAACATAGGCATCACACCTAGGTCACATAGGCAGAAAAAGCCATCTTCTGACAGAATTTTACTGAGTCATGATGGAGCTTTCCTTCATGGTAAGTCTGTGAGAATTGTCAGGTTTCAAGTGATGGCTCGCCTTGCTTGCTAAATAAATGCAGATCTGAGAGCTATTAAGCTTCCTAATGTCATCCTCGAGAGGAGGAGGGAGTAGAATCACTATTTTGAGGTCTCAGGCTTGGATGTAAGCAGACACTACTGAAAATCTTGCACTAAGAAGAAAACAGCTCTTTTTGTGTTGGTCATTTATTGATTAAAGAAACAACAAAAACCTGAGTACTTACCTCTTAAAGGATTAATTTATTAGGAGAATTGGTGTTAATTCTAGTAGTGAAAGCGTACTAAGTTACCTAAATCAGTGTCAGATTACTATTATTTTACTACCAGACCTGATGCTTTTATCAGCTCTGTTTATATGCAATCCACTGTACTTCTGATCCTTGGGAAGGTTACCTTTGAAATTGTTTCCACCATCAGAGGCAAGTCAAGGACTCCAGAGGAGACAAAATAGGCTGTAGATGATTGTGCAATTACAGATGGCTACAAATCAAGGTATATTATAACTTTAGCTGCAGCTCTTGAAGAGAGCCTGTTACTTTTTAACATTCAGAACACTGCCTTCTAGGTAAATCCTCTTACTTGGGATTTGAATTTCTATAGACTGCTGTCTGCCTTGAGGTATTGTATGTCGTCTCTGAACTGCAGCGGCCTCTCCTGCATAATAACTATTTCACACAGCAGTAGCCAGCTTCAGTACTGCAATATTTGAGAGAGGTGCAGATGTTTGCTAGCCGCTTACTGTTTGTTGCAGAAATGGAAGTTGGAAATTATTCCTATTTTTTTTATTTTTTGGTGCTGGTAATTGTGGTTAGTGGATCTGCTTTTGGCTGATGAGGTTTACGTGTTAGAATACGTGCATGCTTTTTTCTGTGTGTCTGATTCTGAATACTTAATGGGGAGCTATGTATTATTTATCTGGCAAGAGGTGTAGATTTGCTCGTGTATGCATTTCAAAGGTTCTTGGTTTGAAGGGTTCTGGGGTTTCTCTGTATTGCTTTGCAATAATTGTTTAGTGCAAATGGTTTATTTTGCTGTAGTTACGGTCTTCGGTTTATCGCTTTCTTTACTGTTTGTAGCTTAGTGAACAGTGCCAGCAGAAATTTACTATACTTAGAAAATTTTCATAATGTGGATTTTGAAATTTAAAAGTAGCTACTGTGTAACAGTAAGAATTTAAATTTTTAGGAGGCATTGCTGAGAATATTCCTGCTTTTTTTTTTTTTACTGTACAGTACTGGTATTACTGGCATATTTAAATATTAAAATGGTTAGATTTTCTTAAATGATTGCCTGCTTTCTCTCAGCGAGTCTCACTGCAATAACCTTCCTGAAAAGCTACTACAGAACAGTTGTCAATCGCTTCTCTTTAGATCTGCTTATTTTTTATAATAGCATTGCTAGGTGAGAGCAAATCAGTTCCTTTCTGCTTTATCTTTTCATATTAATTGCAGCTGACAGTGCAAGATGACACATCTGTGCAAAAAGGATTTTGTACCATTTAGATCAGTATACTCAACGTACAGGCCAAAGTATGTTAGTCTGTTCCTTTTTTTCTTGTGTCAGGCAAAATGCAATATAAAGTAGAGCATTTTATTTTTATTTAGTCTTTTTTTTTTTAAGTTGCTTGCTTAGTAGAATCACTATGGTAACCGACTAAAGGATGTCTCTGAGGCGCACAACCTGCATTGCAATGTAAGTGAGGGGAGATTTTTAAGTTGTCCGACTGCTGAACAGTAGGAAAAAAGTCAAGGCAGAGAAATAAGCTAATATTTAATATCTATAAGCTATTATTTAATGCTTGCTCTAAGGTTAAAAAGGTTTTTTACAGGTAATATATGTGTGAGTTGGTAGTTTTCTGTGTTCTCTTCTGGGAATGATAATGCTAAAATGTTCATTAAAGATTGTTCATTAATGATGAATGAATCATCATTCCACTTGAGTTTGTTTCATTTTTTAAAATGTGTTATATATTACAAATTATGTTAATAGAAGTCAGTGAGGAGGTAACCTGCATCACTGTGTGCCTCACAGAGCTTGTGAGAGAGTCAGCATTGTTTTGTTATGATTTGTTATGGTTAAGACATCAATTTTCTAATAATTGTTCTGTTAAGAATGTTTATTTAGAAATTTAATGGTCTGTTAAACTCTTACAAATCTGAGATGTGTGTTACATAGACATGCTATACACGACCTATTACTAGGATCATGAGAAAAGTTACATAGTATCTAGTAGTTCTGAGTATGACAATACTGAAAGCAAGTTGCATATACATCCATTAATAAGGATTTTTTTTTTCTTTCCAGCTGTACTAATGAGCTCGTGATGCCACCTAGGTTGGCTAGCTGGAGCTAAATGATCATTTTTGTGCTAACAAAATAAAATCTGCTGAAGTATCAGTAATGTTTTGTGTGTTAGAAGCCACCTGAAACTGTTTGTTGTAGATAAATGTATTTATTAACAGTAGTATTTTATGTGTTGTCTCTCAAGTTCCTATATTCATCGGCCTTATTCTCTATTGATTTAATATATTAATCAAAATTCTACACTTTGTGGGAATTTTCAATGAAGTTTGTGGAAAAGTTCAGAGGCCTTTGAGTTTGTATGCCTGTTCCGTTCATTTTAAGACACTTGGTTTCAGTTCAAACTGTAAATAGTGATCACTGAATTAGCATGACACTTGTGAAATGATTGCTCACATCCAGACTTTCTGGCAGACAGATTCTGTTGCTCTGCTCATGTTACCTTCTTTCTAGAAGAGTGGAATACTTGGCTCAAAACTTCAGAATGCAAAGATGTTTTAAAAGATATTTTTCACTCTCGAGCAAAAGTGATTAAAAATAAACAAGCTTTAGTGTTTAACTGTAGATGTCTTAATACCTGGAGGACAGGATGTAAGAACTATTTTAATGTAAAGGTATTCATTTTAAGTGCTTTTTGACAAGAGATCAATTTTTAAAAATACTTTAAATCACTCAATTTGAAGGAAGAGTATTCTGTTTTTCTGGATGGACAAATGGAGAGCTTCGATGTTTTATCTCCATGAGGCTACCAGCTAGTATGACTACATTTCTGGTTGTGTATTCTGAAGAAAACTTGATCTTCCGATTTGACGATTCGTTTGATGCAACTATTCTTCCAGATGCTATTCCAGTTGTTTTGTGAAGATGTCTGTTGCCATCTTACATTACTAGAAGCATTGCTCTGTCTGTAGTAAAAAAATTTACTTTTCTCTAGTAAACAGTTGAACAGAAATTGAGAATTGTTTTCTTGAAGACACATGGTAAAATGCAGTATTGATTTTCAAGTACAAATTTGATTTATTCTTAGTAATTTACCAAAGTGCTAGTACTAGTTTGTTTGAAAAACAAATAATTCTTTTTTTTTTTCCAGCATTTTCAGTTAGCTTTGATTGACTGCAATCCCTGCACTTTGTCTAACGCTGAAAGTAAGTAACTGATAAGTATTTCCATTTGTTTTGTTGTAGATTTTTTTTTTTAAGTCTTATGCTCGCAACTGCATCAATTTTTAATGAGCCAATCCTTCAAAATCAACAGAATCAGTACTGAGAGAAGGTAGACTACAAAACCTGTCTCCATCTGTCCATGGAGACAAATGTTCCAGTGGAATTGAGGATTGTTTTAGTAAATGGAGTAAGTAAAAAATTGAGACTTACCTTATTAATTGATCTGAAGAGTTGAGTTCTGGAGGAAACATACTATTTGACTGTTCACTTATTTATTTATTTATAGGCGTAGTGCTTGTGCCAAGGCACACAATGAATAGTAATTACTTAAACTTTGTGGCATCTTCGTAATCTGTCATTTTGCAGTGATCATTTTGATGCCATTTAAATTTACAGATCTAAAATTCAACACCAGTCTTATGCTGTTGAAGTAAGAAAAAGTACAAAATGCAATTTGATTGTTTTGTTAAGTGACAGCTATATATTGGTCTGTACTTGAACACGTTACTCTTAGTCTAGTATAATCTATCATATGCAGTATATACTGTAGGCTGTTACAGAGCATCCTGCAGGTATATATCCATAGTTAGTGGAATTGTATGCAAGAATAACTATTACGATTCTGCGTCTTTGGGAGTCTCTAAGAACGAAAAGGCAGGCAGTTGTGAAGGAAATTATTTCTGGAGTTTTTAAGGTACCTTCATGCTGCTCTTGGTGTTAAGCTTAAGTTACTTCCTAAGTCTAACTTCAGAAGCATTGGATAAAGTATATGAAAGCATTTTTTTATTTCTTTAATTCAGAGCTGGGTGGAATTTTGAATATTCTGTCAGCAAGAGTGATGAAAGGGGGTTTGCTTACATGAGTGAAACTGCTGGCTGTATCGGTACCAAGGAGCCAGCTGTGCTGCAAGGTCTTCTCCAAAGCTTTGTCACTTATAAGGAGCAGGCACAGATGAGTTTGTAAAACTATTTGCAGAATTCTTCCTAAGTCAATAGGCTTTTATTGTTTTCTACCAGATATGTAATTCTTTATTGTATTTCATGTTAGTTCATATTATTTCTCACTAACTTTGTCAGTTTTCACTGTATCTCTGAATATTTGTAAGGTTTTCCTGACCCTTCCCCCACAGTCCACTCTGCCCCCAGATTTATGTAGAGGTATGGCCCCATGTAAAGTCTTCATTGCCCCGTGGCCTTGGGCACAGTGCTTGACAAACCCAAAGGAAGAGAGTGAAGACGAATGAGAGATACTTTGTCAGGTTCTCCTGTACTACCTAGCGGAAGGAGAACTGTGCACTCTGACCCAGGGTGTCGGGTACCATCACATAAGTGCTTGAGATTGCATTAATCCTACCCTTTGCATTTCTAAAGGCTGGGTGAGTAACAGCATTACAGTGAGTGTGTTCCTAGCAGAAATGTTTGCAACTAAGCGTGTCTTCTTTCTATTTAGTCAGTCTCTAATGTGACACCTTTAATTTCTTACCCCCGCGTGGCATGGCTTCCTTTTGTAGCTTCACATTGAAGGGGTTTTGCTATGAGGGGGAAAAAAAAAAAAAAGAGAAATATATTTTAGATAATGAACTCCTGAAGCAAAAGCAGAGGTGGTTTTTTTTTTCATCACTAGAGAGTGAAATTTGACAGTGTGGTGAACATAATGGGTGTGTTATATGCCCTTTAGCAGGGAACAAAAAAAGTTTTATTAAAATTGTAGGTGATGCATTTCATTATGACCTGGTTTCTGAAGTGCAGTAGGCCACCTTCTTTATAGGGAAGGACAAAGCAGTGCGCAAAGGGAGCTTTAACCCTCCCTTATGACCCAGAGAGAAACCGTGGAACTCCAAATTACTTGCATAAACCTCTGTGTAACACTATTCTGTAGCTTCAAGAGAAGGAAGTCTGTGTAATAATAGAAATAAATTGAGCTTGGCTCAAACACAAGCATTGTTTTCCTACATGTCCTTGAAAACATGAAGCAGAAGCCTGTCTCAAAGGGATTTTTCTTTCCTTATCACATTGAAATAAGGATTATATTCATCTCAACTAGCTTTAGCTATCTATCAGTCAATGGCTAGTCTAGGTTAGCAGTTCTCAAGCCTTAGAGGTCAGGTACTCCACCTTTTCTTTAATGATTTGAGCAGCAAGAGGATAATTTTTCCTCTGCTTTTACTCTTAAACCACTTTCATTTTCTTTCTCCAACCAGCAATTTTCTTGCCTCCAAGAGCTGCTAGTATAGTATTATGGTGTTCTGTGCAATTAGTATGAGGAGTTTACAGTAATGATCAGAATAACATCTGTAATTAACGCTTTTAGTTAAGTTTAACAGGGGAAAGACAATTCCTAAAAAGGAAAAAAAAAACAACAAAACCACCTGAATTTAAGATCTGGTATAAAGCTGGCTGTGTATAGTGTCGTTTTCTGTTCTGTAACTCGACTAGTCTGTCCCTTGGCATTGAATGAAAATAAAAAAATAAGTCTTTATTTCTAAGTGAGTTATATACAGAAAGTATTACCTGCATTCTCTTGTTGTGCATCTCTGCTTAAAGAGATTTTATTGCTAAGTTTACTGACAGGTTGATGGACTCTGCATTTCAGAATACAAATAAAATCTGTGGACTGCCTTTCTGCAATATCTGTTTGCGGTCCTAATGCTTTGTTAGTATACATACTTATTCTCTGTCAGTTCTGTTATATTAAGTGTAAATTATCAATGTAAACAAATAATTTTTTTGTATCTTCAAAATGTAATTTATCTTGGTTTTGCATTGATAGATTTGAAACATTGTCCCTCACTTGAAGAAAACGTACTGTAATTGTTGTCGTTCATTAAGACTAATAATTTTGATTTTCCCACTCTTACAGTTCAGTTTCACATCGCCCACTTATATGAAATCCAGGTAAGCTTTAATCTCCTTTTTATAAAAGTGTGGTTGACTTTCTAACTATATGATATAATCAGTCTGTGGAATTCAGATTATAGATGCTTTTGTAAAGTTGGGCTTAAGTGTCGAGTCACTAAAGAAACTCTATTTGCTTTGGCTAAATTAAAAATAATTCATATGTGGATTGTCATGATATAAAATGGTGTAGCTGTTTGAATAAACTTACATATTTACAGGTCTCCCAAGTTGAGTGCAAAAACCCCCTTAAATAATTTTTAGTAAAAGTCTTTTATGAGATTTTATATATATATAAAAGTTATATATAGATATAAAACCCATGCAGTTTCTCAGTTCCGACAAACACACACACAGTCGAGTCTAGCCAGTTGCCCAGGTGCCTTTTAAGTATATTTGACATGCAGTTTTCAAAGGTAACTGAACATATGTGACAGAAACATTTGAGATCTTGGGTCAACAGCACATAAAGCTGTGTTATTAATTCTATACCAAATTCTACAACAGAGTTTTTTAGGTGAATCTTTTTAGAAAGTATAGAACACTTACTGAGCTTCCAGAATATAAGTAACTACTGAAATAGCTATTGTGTATTTGTCATTTGACTGACTGGACATACAATGTAGATTGTATGCCCTTTTATCATGTTTATCATGGTATTAATATGACATGAGGAAGGCATGTGACATGAAAACAAAAACTGTTGTAATTAAAATGGATGACAGACATAAACTGCATTTTCAGTCAGTTGAAAAGTAGCTTGATGAAATGAGAGATGTCTTTTGATGACACAGTGAAAAATGATTTTAGGTATTTATATATAAATAAAAGATACAAATTTGATAAACAAAATACTTTTCTTTGGAATGTTTTTGGTGCAAAGCTAAACAACAAGATAGAAATCCCCCATCTCAAAACACCGTTAAGAAACTTCATGGACTGTTAGGGTCCTTCCTGCCTGGCGGCCGTCCAGATTTCATTCTGAGCACTGGAGCACATCTGACGTGTAAATACAAAGCATCCTCAATATATTAGTTCTTTTGATCTACTAGAATAAAATAGAAAGTTGAACACCTCAGGTCACCATGCCAGGTGCCTTATATAATTGTGTGACCAGCCTTACAAGCGCTTAAGCTGTGCTTTCTGACTGACAATCATAGGCAGCAGGAACTGTATCTTAACGCAAGTTAGAGCAAAGAAGTTTCAGTGTGTTCTGCTGTTAGGCTTGGTTTGTCTCACAGTTCTGGTTAGGAGGGGTATCTTCTTGTCTGGTATTTGAGAAATTTAGAACCACAAAGGGTCTTGACTTCATTCTGGATATTACCTCTGACACAGCGAAGAGGTGTTTTTGGAGGCAGGCTGGTTACTTGGTTTCTTTTAAAGGACACGGTTGCTCCAGTTTTCTGAACCCTTCCATATATTTGAAAATTATCTACTCTCTAATAGTTAGTGAAAAAGTTAATTCATTCCTTAATTATGTACCTTCACAGTACTGGAGATTAAATGATGGGTTGCCAGCCTCTGAACAAGAGAATAGCCTGGTGTTGATAAGAGTTAGCAGTTGTTTTTCATGGTGTTTAATGCTAGTTTCTATTATTTCATCTCTGGCAGTGTGAGTCCCTGTAGCTATTTAGGATGGTAGCTTATACAGTGCCTAAAGAAGGATGTTGGGTTGGGTTCCCCTCCCCCTTCCCATTTCCAAGACCATTCATGATGCAGTCAAACATCAAGAACTTTGGATCTTTGGAATTGACGTATCTAAATAAAATCAAATATAAACATTGTGACGGTTTTCTGTAATATTATAAGGCATGTTTGTAGACAGATTTCTGAAGGGTAAATAATACAACAAATAACATAAGTAAAAAACCATTCTAGATCTGTAAAACATGCCCTATTTGAATAGATCTTTCTGAGTCCACGTAAACATCTTTTTCAAAGTGTGAATATTAGGCACTAATATTTACCCATTTGACATCCAGATTGCTGCCTCTACTGTCATGCTATACAGTGAACTTCTGTTCATTTGCTTATCCTTCATGGTCATAAACTACGAATGTTGTTCCCAATGCTAAATTTAAAATTTTTTCCTGATTGTTTTTATTTTGCTGGACATGGATATTTTATTTATTTATATTATTTGTTTTCTTACCAGTTGTCTGCATTTCATGAACACCAATTAAAAATCTTTTCTACCAACTTCCCCTTGTTCCATTTGAAAGTATGTAATTGCTGCTTTAATTTCTCTTCCTGACTAGAATAAGGTTTTAAAATCAACAGAGTTGTCTTTTGTGATTGTGAGATCTTGAGATCCTAATAACATATTTAACTTTTAATAAGTGTTTATATTGTTTAGAGTCTTCTTCCCAGTTGTCCCTTTTAAAACATCGGTAGTCAGTACTGTGTACTCTTTGCAAAAAAACAAATGTAACTGAGTCATGATCATTTGCATTTAGGTGGCCCCATTTATTTTCATATGTTCTTCATCTGTTTGCCAGAATGAAGTCTAATGCTGAATTCTCTAAAAGCATTCTTTTCTTAAAAAATGGTATACAGTTTTGGGGAGGGGGGCACGAGTAGTCTTACTAACAGACCTCAGGATTTATTGTCTTCTAGACTTTTGGGGGAGAGGAAGAACACAAGAATCAAGCATTTAAAATACATTCACTGTTACACAATTATTATTAGGGCAACAAAGATAAAAGGTGACATTATTAGAAAAAAATTCATCTATCGAGAAGTCTTAACCTTTAATACGTATGAAACGGCTCATACTGTTCCAGATGTCAGTAAAGGCCTCGATCCTAACCTGGGAATGTGTTTTCAGTATCAAGACCTATTCATGTAGGGAGTTAAGAATTGAATGTTTCTATGCTTTAAACGCATTTAAATTATATAGCAAATAATAAGATGGCATACCTTCATTCTCTAGGCTTAATCCATGGATATGTTTTAATTCTGCTTACGGTGGGACTCTTACCAGGACAACAAATATGTTGAAAAGGCAGTTCAAAAATACCAAAGGAAGGAGAGAGGCAAAATTATACCAGCCACCAATTACCGATGATCTTCACTTCTGTTACGAATTTCCTGGGAGGAATTTGCATAGGGTTTTTTCAGATGTAGACTCACATTCAAGCATTCCCCTTAAAAGCAGTACATTCATTTTACTGTAAGAAGCATAATGCATGTATGAGGAGTTGACCAAATTTAGTAATTTGCAAATTTCCCTCGATTATTTTAAGTAGTCAATTTATATTAAATACTATATTTATGAAAGTTATCTTCTTACCATATATATATGTCACTCATTAAAGCTTTCATATGCACTGTATGCAAAAAAAAAAATTTGTAGAATTTTTTGTCACTGTGTTTGTGTGCTGTCAGTGCTGTGAAATCGTTGCTATTGGTGATCTGTTGTAAGCTTTATGATTAATCCATTTACTTTTTTCCTTTTGCAGAGAAAGTATCACTCTGCAAAGGAAGCTTATGAACAGCTTTTGCAGATCGAAAACCTTCCTGCACAAGTAAAAGCAACTGTCTTACAGCAGTTAGGTATGTAAAATTAACTTTTATTTTCCTGTGTGTTTCTTTTTTCTATCTTCACTTTCAGCAGTGTTTTTTAAGGCTCCATTTCTGAAGTGAGTCTTAGACACTGAGTATGATACGTGAGATTTTCACCCAAAATAGACTGCATAATAGTAGATAAATAAGTAAATAAGAGAGGAGGAAAAGATTTTAATTAAACTTACAAAATTAAAAAGCTCTTAGACTTGCTACAGTATATGTGTTTCAGATTTTGGGCAATGAGGGGGTGGTCTTTCAGAGGAGGAATGCAGCAGTTAGAATTCTGTATTCTCTGTTCTGCCTCTGAGAACATCCTTTGATTAGCCAGGCTAAATGCAGTAAACGAAAATACTGTTCTGTTGCAGAACAGAAGAACATGGCAAATAGAAGGCTTACCTTTGCTTTCTCTTTAATTATAGAACATAATGAAACCTATTTCTATAATGAAAAAGTTTATCATCAGATTCCATAAAAGAAACCACATAAAAAGAGAAGAAGCATTATTTTTTTAAAATTTTCGTCTTCCATATTTATAGGAAGCTGAAAAGTAATTTTTAGACCAAAATTTCTAGTGGGTGGGTAGAATAAATTACTTTTGTCCTATATGTCTTGTAAAAGTATTTCCAGAATATTTTGTTAAAATTGTTCAACCCAGTGCAAAACTTCTTCATTCACTTTCTCCATGTTCTTCATCTATTTTATTATTCTAAATATTCATTTAGCCTGCTTATGCCCATTTTTATCCCCCTCCCCCTTTCACATAGTAGTCATTTAATTCAAGTTAGTAACTGATCCCGGGTTATGGCTACAATGCTTTTGTTTTTTGTAATGCAGGTTGTGTATGGATTCAGAGTGGGCTAATTTGTTTAGCTTTTGCTTCTTCTGTGTGAAATAGCAAATGAAGCTGCTGGAGGAGTTTACTGCAAGGACGCTAGGTGCTGATCTTTTTCCTGTCACACAATGGCTTTGCTTATATTTTAGTATCCCCTTTGAAATTTTTTTAACTTGGTATTATCCCACCTAGTGAAAATTGTCAGCAATTCCATCCAGAAAGGCTGTACATACGATCAATGGAAGACAGCCTTCCCAAAATAGCTGACTAGTGCTTTTTCAACTCTGTTTGATGTATGTTACCACAATAGAAGCAAAGGCACATGGTGATAGGTATAAAATCTGACCACAGGTCTCTGTGCTAACAGTAAGAGCAATGACTTTGAGAATTATCTGCTGCCTAAAACATGGATTAACTCAATCAGCATAGGTCGCCTAGTTTTGTAGCATGGGTAGCTTCTATGTAGAGAAAGGGAAGGAGTGGTCTTAACGAGAACATTCAAGGAATAATAGCATTTCTTTTGCTCTTCACTGTTAACTGTGGTGTTTATCAGATTATGGTGTTTCTTGCAGATTTAGTCTCTAGCTGCTGGTAATAAAAACACCTCCTCAGAAAGCGTAGTCCAGGTGGTGCACTGCTGCTTAGAAAAAATAGTAGAAAATACCTGCCATCTGCCAGAATGCTACTGGCAAAACCCAATCAAAATGTGTTTGTGTTTCTATGTTGAACTTTGTTTGTTTTCCTTAGCTAGCTAATATTTAGCGAGCCACAGTTGAAATTTAGGCAAGTTCAGGTGTCTTGTGAGAGAATTGCTAAAATCTTTGCTCTTGTTGCTGGTTTCCAGAGCAGATCGCTGTGGAGGAGAACCCTGTGATTCTCAGATAAATAGATGCCTATTTGAGCCGATGCATGCTGACTAGTTCAGGTAGACGGAACAGTCAGATCTTGTACAGTTGGATAAGAGCAGTTTGTTTCTTCTTTTGTGCCATTTCACTTGCTTTCCAGGCAACAGTTCTTTTCATTGCTTTGCCTAAAATTATATTGAATTAACGAGACTGAAGATCTAATCTGTCCTGCTATTCTTTCTTCATTTATACTCAGCAGTTGCATAAGGAAAAGTGTAAGAACAATGTAAGCATCTGCTTAAGAGGTTTCCAGAGTGCACTCTCAATGATTTTTGGCTAGGGGCATTCCTAGGTGGTGTCCACGTAGTTGGATGAGATATCATGAGATGCTAAAATGGGAGGAGGCTCATCTCTTCAGATGGTGGCGTTTATTGGAGAAAAAAATATCAGTTGCCACAAGTTCAGCGCGAGAGTGATTGATAAGCATAAAAAACACCCTGCAGCATGAGCTGGGCTAGCACATCCCCTTGGCTGAGGCAACACAGGGATTTGTAACAAATTAGATTGTAAAAAGACGTAGAAAAGAGCTTGGAATGTTTGAAGTATGGACAAAACCTGCGTTTTTGTTTGTTATATTAAAAATGTCCCAAGAGTGGATGAGTAGTCAATATGCTAGTTGGGAATTTGAGTTATGTCTTGCAAATGGGAAACTGCACAGCCTGCCAGGGTTTTTCCATCATCAAACCTTTCTGTACGGTTTTCATTTTATGTGTGAGGAAAAGAGAGAGATCCAATTTCCTTCCAGTGCTATTCTAGTAGAAAACTTCCGTTTGTTCTCCCTCACCCTCTCTCTTGCTTTCTGCCTTTTTCACCTCCCTGCGCAGGAAGGTAAAATTGGGAAGCAATCCTTGTTTCAGCAGTGAAAGTAGATAGGGATTGCTAGTTCTCATTTCTGTCTCCTGGAAAAGGATTCTTTCTTTTTATCAGTGAACTTCAGTAAAGATCTCCTGAAGATATGTGTTATCTTTCACTTCGGCAAGGTTCTGATGAAACAGAAAATAGGCATGACCACACAAAATTTCCAAAGGTTCAGGAAATTGTTTAATGTCTTTTTTTAGTCCCCGAACTACTACCTTTATCTCAGGCTTTGCTTGGCACTGCACCCGATAGATTTATCCTTAACGTACATTTATGCAGGTGCATTCTGATAACCACCCTCACATAAGCCTTTTTTTCTGAAGCATGAGTATATTCTGTATGCTTAAGAACTTCGGTGACTTGGGATTTGAATTAAAATCATAGTTTGTTTATGAAGTCCGTGAGAGAAGGTTGTCTATGTTCTGTGTCTCTGAAAAACTTACTGTGCTTTTTCCTTTTTTTTTTTTTCTTTGTTGGGTAGGATTTTGACTTGATCCATCTTCAGCGCTATAACCACTTGGCTTCTAACATGACATTTCTTGCAGTCCATGAAATATTCAAACTCCTGCTTCTGACCATGGTTTCCAACTGATGCTTCTTAAAATACCTCAGGCGAATGTTATTCAGTAGATATGATTTTCTTTTAGATTGCCTTTTTTAAAGCTTGGAAGTTTGCCTTTCATTTGCCAAAGGTCACTCTGACTGTTAACAAACTATAAGCCCATGGAATAAAACCCAAGCTGTGTAGAACAGGTAGAATAAAGTATTTAAGATATAGTCTAATTTACAGAGAGTGAAGTAAAGCTGCAAATACTCATCAGTTCAGTTCTCAGCCTTGCCTATTTTGTCTAGCATTTCAGATGAGATCTGGATCTTTTGAGTGGTATTAGCTGTTCATGCAGTTGGACTGTATCAAAACGTGTAAGCTTAAGGTGCTGATGTTCAGCTGATGGAGGTTTTAAATGGAGTTACAGTGCAGGTGTGTGTACAACTCTAACTAAAACATTATACAAATTGGATATTTTATGAAATTGGTATCGCAGTATTGCACAAGGGACCATTTATGGGCAGGACACTATAAAAACATAAGGACAATGTGTTGTCACATCTCACGTTTTACAAATGTTGGCTGAAAAGCAGCATTTGTTAAGACACATACATGGAGATTATGCAAACAGCAAGACATTGCTGACCAGTGTGGTATGTAGTGATTTCAGCAAGCCAGCTGCCTGGTACAGAGGATTTCCTTGTACTCATAATATGACTGGCAGTGAGATGATTTTGTGGCTGCTTAAAGGAATTCCATCTAAGTATAGAGACAGATGAGGAGCAGCTTGAGGAGGTGGTGAAGGTGCTTTATTTGCAATGGTAACCAAGCCTTGCATCAGTGCTAGAGCAGAGTTGCATTTTAGTAGCATGTAAAAGAGGATAGGGGAGCATGGATTGTGGGAGGCTTTCAAAGTGGGGGTGAATAATTTATCTAGTGTAATGAAAGAAAAAAAGGCATTTGAAAGAATATGTGTGGTTAGATGAGGAAATGATCTTTTCAGCGGAATTTGTTATGTAGATGCGAGGTGATTGCGTTCGTCAAGGTGAATGGAAAGGATGTTGGAGCAATGAAGATGAAATGACAGTGTAAGAAAGATTAAAGTGGAGATACAAAAATTATGACCAAGGTTCTGTTGGGGAATTGTCCAAACGTAGATATGAGATAAATATGAGGATTTAGAAGAAAAGGAGTAAACTGAACATGATGTACAGATAATTGATGTGCGTGACAGGAAGAATGATGGCATTTTTCACAAAGACAGGGAAGATTTCTGTGTTCAGAGGATGAAGGAGTTAACACTTTCAGATTTTTTATAGTAGAAGATTGAGCAGTTCATTATTGCTCTACTAAGCTCATAGAAAATTATTTAAACCAAAGAAACCTGCTTTAAAAGTACTTGAAAGTTATTTTTACTTAGGGTCCTTCTGTCCTATAATTTTAGTACAGAACTTTAAAAATTTAATTCGTAATATTATATGTAAGTGATATTATTGTTTGATACTCCTATTTTTAAAGAGGAACTAGTTCTATGAGTATCATGCTGTGCCAGAGTGTTACGTGGTCTTAGGGAATTTCATTTCTACCATTTATGGATTCTTTTTGTAGGCTGGATGCATCACACCGTGGATCAGCTTGGAGACAAGGCAACCAAGGAAAGCTATGCTATACAGTATCTCCAGAAATCTCTAGAAGCAGATCCAAATTCTGGTCAATCCTGGTATTTCCTTGGAAGGTGAGAAATTACATTATAGACAGTATAACTGTATTTGTGAGTTTTTGAGGATACTCATTATTTTGAGTACCTTATGTTGTTTTTCTTATTAATACTTTCAGAGGAAAAATGAAGGGAAAGGATGTATGTATCTACTGAAGTCTTAATTTTCTGGAAAGTGTATAAAAAGACAAGGTGCTAACATATTTGACGTGAATATAGATTAGAAGTTGAAATGAAATATGTTACTCAGGTGGTCCTGCTTTTTTTTTTTGTAGTTTTTATTCAGTCTACACATTTACAGTAATCTGAGTCTGCCCTGCCTGGTTTTCCCCATTCCGCCGCCTCCTACCACATCTTCTATTCTCTCTTTCTTTTTCGGTAAATGCTCCCTAAATATTGTTACTTTTCTTTATACCTTTTTCACAATTCTACCTCTTTCTGTTTCTCAGACTCTCCCTTCTAATCTCAATCACTTCTTGTACTAAAATACAATATTTTGCCAGGTATACATACATTTATAAATGGAATACATTGCAATGAAATACTAGGCCAAGATAGCTCGGTCATAAATTTGATGATAAATTTTCTTGGTCTCCTGTTTAAGAAAATAGAGTACTTTACACAAACAAGCAGTAACTCTTGAAATGACCAGGTTCTGGACGAAGCTTTGAGGGCAATTCAATGTGAACAAGTCAGTTCTGTTGAGAAATACATTAGAAAGGAATTATGAAAAAAGGAAATTAGTATCCTAACCTTGCTATTTTCTAGCTGACTGTCTTGGAGGTTCTGGTCATATACAACTGGAACCTACTTTTGTTTTAGTCATCCTAATTGCATTCCTCTAGCTGTTCCTACAAGAGCAGGGCTCTTTGACCAGCTGTCTGCAGGCTTAAGGGAGGAACACTGCACTGAGTGTGAAGGGCAGAGGAGTAAAGGTGTGGAGAGCAAAGGAAAAATGAGCCAGGGATCGTCCACTGGCCTGAAACCTTGGGTTTTTTCTTAAGTAGTCTCATTCCACGTGCCCTCAGCTAGCTGAGTTCTTACACGGCAGCAGGACCAAGCCAGGGCTCCATGAAGTATGTGTGCACAGCTGCCATGCTACTGCTCCTACTGTGCCAGTCCTTATGGTTGGAGTGAAACCTAGGCCCATACAAATAAGGGGGAGAAATGCAGGAAATGAGGGGAAAAGAATCTAGTGGAAGCATCTCTTATACTCTACAGGGAGGACTAGAGCGAAAATGTTCCTGTGTCCCATTCTTCCAGTCCATACACTGGCAGGAGAAGAGGAAAGGAACAGAGTTACAGGGTTGTGCGTTCACTCTTCCTCTTTTTCTGTCCTCATGTATTTCCTTGTGTTACTCCTTCCTCTGCTGGTTGTCCAAACTGGATAGCAAGTTGGTTTAAAGCTACCTTTCAAAAATATACCACCACCCCCCTCCTCCCCCACTGAATAAAATTCATCACTCTGTTTTAAATTTTGTTGGGTGCTTAATGTTGGTACTATCTTCATCAGAGTCCTTATGTATCTGATAGGCAGACAGATGGAAACATGTCTGTTGGAACTTTGGGTAGATTGTGATTAAAATGATCTTGTCAAACATTGTGTTCACACTTAATGGATGTTTTTAGGCAAAGTGCTGCTAGATTTTATTGTACTACTTTCCTAGTGTGCCTTGAGAACACGTGAAAGTGTGTAGCACGTTTGACAAACCTTTGCCTGTACTGTTCTGCTTCATTTTTATTTTTTACTAGAATAAATTTTCTGTTGTTATTTATGTGTTTTGAAAGTTGTCAGTTCTTTTTCCAATAGGGAAACTTACTACAAACAATATAAGCAGCAGAGCTATTGTAGATTAAACTAGTAAATGTGTATATATTTTTAATATTGTATTTATTTGAAGCTTTTAATTTTAAAAAGGTAGGTATTATTCCCTGTGGTATAGTTGTAGTTCTCTTTAGACTTCTGATATTTATGCTTATAATGCCAGAATACCTTTGAATTTGTACGTGAAAAATATTCAAGTAAGAAATTATGAAAAAAATCTAGAACAGCAGGATTTTTTTCAAAATTCTGTGCTCTGCATATACCGTAAAACTAAGTGATTTGTTGTTCATTACTTTAAAACTTCCTGAGCTGTATGTGAGAAAAGCACTTAAAGAGCTTCCCAGGCAATAGGAACCATCCTGATTGAGTTAGTCAGTATCTCTTAATAATCCTGAAACACTTCTTGTAGAATATGAAGTTTCATAACCATTCGTTTGATGAAACAGGTAGCTTAATTGTTTATAATGCTATCTGTAGATAAATATTGTCCTTATTGGTTGGTAAGTGAAAGAAATACAAGTCTTTAAAATGTGGTATGCAGTAAGCTAGGGTTTAAGCCGTTCTGGTGTGCTTTTTAAATAAAGAAAATGTTGATTGAGATGTTTGAGTCTGCTTATGCCTGGCGTTCGGAAACAGCAAGTGTTTTGGATTCATACAGATGTGTATGTGTTTGCATGACTTAACAGTTATCAGATCAGTCTTGGTAAGCCATCCTCAATGTTTACCTTCTGTAAATATTACCGAAGTTCTTTTTTTCTTCTCCCAGGTGCTATTCAAGTATTGGGAAAGTTCAGGATGCCTTTATATCTTATAGGCAATCTATTGATAAATCAGAAGCAAGTGCAGATACATGGTGTTCTATAGGGTAAGAATGATACAGGGTAATACAGTGTTATAATTCAATGCTAATATATGTAAATAAAGACTATCAGCTTTTTAACTCTTTTTGTGCTCTCAAGGGGACTGTAAAGCTTTTTTGTTTATACCTTCGTGTTGTCAGACTTGTCTGATTTGAAGTTTAAATAATAAATTTATATTTTCTTTCTCAATTTTTTTAAAAATACTGAATATGCTATGTATATGAGCTTTGTATGTTAAGAATTTGTGTTGTTTATGCTTATTACTGTACTATATAATGGCAGAGTTTATTAAGGGTTTTGTGGGGGATGTGTATATTTGACTTGTTTGTCTTTTGACTTTGTTATTAATTCTCAACTTCACTAATCTTTCTATTCAGTGTGCTGTATCAACAGCAAAATCAGCCTATGGATGCTTTACAGGCCTATATCTGTGCTGTACAATTGGACCATGGCCATGCTGCAGCCTGGATGGACCTAGGCACACTCTATGAGTCCTGCAACCAGCCTCAGGATGCCATTAAATGCTACTTAAATGCAACTAGGAGCAAAAATTGTAGTAATACCTCTGCACTTGCAGCACGGATAAAGTATTTACAGGTAAAACTAACGTATTAAGAAGTGGGAAATACTCTTCCAAATACACACCGGAGGGGCGGGGAGAAGTAACACACAAGTTTAACTTGCAATTGTTTGTGGTGTGTATAGCCTGTTTTCATGTGTATTGTAAGCATATCATAGCCTGTAATATTTTATTTCTTCATTTTTTAAGTGGAACTTAGTTCCTTATAAACCCTATTTTGCACATTTAATCAAAGCATACTGTTTTACATCACTTTGCTTTTTTCTTTGTATTGTCTACATTTTTAAGTTTTCATAACATATAGAGAGAATACACACATGCTATCTTTCACTCTTGTTTGCAATTTCAGAAAAAAGGAATTATGAGACCTCTGAATCCAGAGCTCATCTTTGTTCTGATTCTCACAAAGGTTTATATTCTGGTTACCCTCTTTATACTTAGCACCTTTCTAAAACCCCAAATTTTAAATCTATCCTCTCTTTTAAGACATAATTAGCTACAGCATTTAGGAAGATTTCATGGACTTGCTCTTACTAAAGTAGGCTTGTGTTAAATTTGCTTTTTACATAATTTTTCCTAGGCTCAGTTGTGTAACCTTCCACAAGGTAGTCTACAGAATAAAACTAAATTACTTCCTAGTATTGAGGAGGCATGGAGCCTACCAATCCCCGCAGAGCTTACCTCCAGGCAGGGTGCCATGAACACAGCACAGCAGGTGAGAAGTTGGGTTATGTTCTGCAGGTGCCCAGCTTTAAGGGTTCTTTACAATCGGTAGTGGTCAAGCTTATTTTATTGAGCACAGGACTGGCTTCTATTAATAAAAAGCCTTTGATTTATTTGCAAAGGGATATTAGATCAAGAAGCTCCCTATAATATGGGAGAAATATGGGGGTACCAATTTAGAACCTTTGTGGATTTTCATGATTTTAAAAGATTTCATCTTAAGTAGAAATGCTGCAGTGGTTTAATAATCCCGTGAAAGGTACACATTCCTCCATTGATGACCATATGGAAACTGATTTTTCAGTTATTGAGATCGGCTTCAGAATATCTACTCGGCCCTTTTAATATATATGGGCTGTTAAAATATTTAATTTAAAGGAAAGAATAAAGAATATATAGAACCATATTTTTGTCTTCCTTCTGTGATTCTTAGGCTTGTAAACCTCATCATCCAAATACTGAACCTGTACTAGGCCTCACTCAAACACCAATTTCACAGCAATCCTTGCCACTACACATGATTCCTTCTAGCCAAGTAGATGACCTGACCAGTCCTGCCAAGAGGAAAAGAACATCTAGTCCAACAAAGGTATATATTCTGATGAACTCAAGAGCCCCCTACCAAAATTACATGGAAATATGCATTAAAATGATGCAGCGTGCACAGAATTTGTGCTGTAAATTTTAATCCTTTGGCATCAAGGTGGGGAATGTTTTTAGGAATTCTAAAAAACTTTTTTCAGTGATGTGTTTAGTCAGGATCCAGTTCAGAGAGGAAGTGCGTAAGGGCAATGCAAACCGGTGGCACTGTTCTACAATCATAGTTGTATAAGTGAAAAGGTACAATCATAGTGTGATGATAGAGAGGGAGACGATCATGTCATTCTGTCTATTGCCTCTGCTTATATTTAGAATTCAAGTGTTCCATTGTCATGTAATAGTGTTACAGTAGATAAAGTATTCAGTTTTAAACGTAGTGTACATTTCAGTTAATTATGAAATTTGATTTGATTGTTTCTCGTTATGATATTAGATACCATTTAATTTTTTCCACTGACTGCTCTTGATACTGTATGGGAGTGGTAGAATGAGACTTAGCATGTTTTAGTACGGTCTTTGTTTATATTGTTGAAATAATTTAATTGTTTCATAAGAAAGATTAAATCTAGATAGCAAAAGAAATCATGTTGACCCTTTGGTAGTCATGCATTTTAATGTACTGTTTTCTCTCAGAATACTTCAGATGTTTGGAGTAGTGGCCATACAGTGTCACATCCTCCTGTACAGCAACAAATTCATTCTTGGTGCTTGACACCACAGAAATTACAGGTAGGTATGTTGAAGATCTTCAGAAGCTTTGGTGTATTTTTTGTTTCTTTCTTTCTTCCTTTCAAGAAAATAAATCTGGAACTTTTTTTTTTTTTCACACTTCTGAAATTCAATGTGAAATACTTCCCAAATAATTCCGACAGTGTCATTCAAGTTGTGGCAATATTTATGGCTTCCCTATGTGAGATTAATTCAGTAGTAAAATAAATGATCTCTAGCAGAAACTGAACACTTAGATTGTATGAATTCTAAAATCTATAAAGTAAGAAAGTACAGTAATCCCTTTCTCTGATAGTGTTTTAAAGATAGATATGCAAATTGCCACGCTTGTATGCCAAGTGAGTTTTGCTACTTGCTGTAATGTGGGGGATATTGAAGGAGGTGAAGAAGAATTATAATATATCCTCATTTTCCTGAGGTCGCTTTTTGTATCAAATTGCGTAAACAAACGTGCACGTTCTACAAAATGCAATGACTCAAATGAAATCTGGTATTGCTTTTCTATATTCTATGTCATCTAATATACGAAATGCTAGATTTTATTTTTGAAATCTTGTTTCAGGTCTTTTTTGTTATGATGTTTTGTTGTCTCTTCAGTTCATTAGGGCTTGCAGTGAGCTTCAGCAGGGATTCCATATTTGGAAAGTCAGGCCTAGCTGGAAACTCTAACCCATGTATCACAGATACTGCTTTGTATGCAAAGAAAAATAGAAGGGAACAGAGTGCATAGACAGAAGGCATTCTGATTGACTGAGCAGTGTTCCCCTCAACTCCAGTGTAGTTCTTCAGCTATTTTTCAATCTGAACAATATGGTCTTTATTATGCTGCAGATTTTTTCCCTACCTTCCCTCCTGATCCCCTCCACCTCCCCGCCCCTTCGGTCCTCCCTGATCACTCTTCTGTATATCTCTCTCTTCATGCCTTCACGTTATTTCTCTCTGCTTATTTTATATCCTACTACTTCTTCCCCACCTTTTTTCCAGATCTAGCTTCCTCCTATAAACAGTATCTAAGTAGGCTTCTCTGTCATAAAGTACAGTATACTGGATTTGCTGACAATAGCTTGACAAAGTTCCAGTATATGTGGATAGGAAAGCCAAAAAGCTATGATGCAAGAGGAGAGTGAATAAAACCTTTATTACATCTTCTGTGTGGCAGCTCAGAGGTTGGATGGATATGGCACGTAACGCACACCAAATGGCTCAGCTAACAAAAGGAGGAGGGAAAGGGCTGTGGCCACACAGTAGGCACTGGGGCTGCACCATGCCAGTGGATGAGGGATGGGTGTTGGTTGCACAGAATTGGTGGGCATCAAGACCAGTGTTGCCTGCAAAGCCTCTGTACCCATAGCACTGGAGAGACGCGCAGACTTAGCTCTGCTGACACATGTGCTAGGTCAGACTTTCTGACTCCTGTTACCCTATTTAGACAGGGTTTTTTAAAAGCAAAGTAACAGCTGCGGAGCACTGGTTTTGGCTTCTGTGTACCTGGTGCGTGCACTCCCATGGAGACCCTCTTTTCATCTCACAGTCATAGATAGGTAGATATAGATATATTAGTCTTATTCATTGCAGTCCCCTACAGAAGGACTTCGGAATGGAAGCTACTGTTAATCCAGGGAGTTTGGCATGAACCGTCTTTAATCACTTTTTCAGACAGTGTTGGTTTTTTTTTACTTGATACTTTGCAAATGCAGTTGTACAAACAGAATGAACTACCGTTTACTTAATACTCATACTTCATTCCATTTGTGTATTAGTAATACAGCATAATCAAAGCAAAGGAGACAAGAAGGATGTAGAAAAATAATACATTCAGACCTGAAAAGAACTGAAGGAAGCCTGCTTTGTGTTTGGTTTTGGTGGGGCTTGCTTTGGTTGGTTTGTTGTTTCTTGTTTGGGGTTTCTTTTTTGGGTGGTGGTGTTTTTTTGTTTTTAAGGATTTACACTGATGAGAAATAGTTTAGTGTTTAAGAACAGTCAAGAAAAATGTCTGTATGTCACCTTTTGTGTAGCACAACTTTTGCCCTCCTCTCCATACACCACCTCTTCCTTCTCAGATAGTGCTTTTGTGTTCCACAGTTTCAGCACTTAGGACATACCACTTAGAAGCAGCAGACTTACTGGTAGAATGATGGTATGTGCTGAGTAGTTTAAAATTAATACACAGATCAGATTTTTGGTAATAGATACTGAAATTTATACATTGCAGAGGAGTTCAGTATCATAACATAAGATACTGCTCTCTGTAATTAACTTGTATAGGTTTCTGGGTTTGTTTTCTTTTATATTTTCTATAATAATAAATAATTACATTTATATTTCATATGTCACGATAGGTTGAATTTACTTTGTGCTGAACAACATTAATAAAAGAATAGCACAGTACAGAAAAGTGTTGAAACATACATAATGATAATAAGAATTCTATGTAATCGTACTTGAATGTAGTTTTCTTTTATGGTACCAGTACACTTAATTTTAGTGTGGTGATAATATTTATATACTCAAATTAGTTTTAGTAACTAGCAAAAAGGTTTGGTTACAGAATAGTATATGGAAGGATGTTTGAGGCTGCAACAGAAATCTCAATCGTGTTTTCAGCTTTACAAGTCTTCACAGATAATTTGTAGTATTGTATGCAAGACAGTTACTAAAAAATACACGCAATTTCCATGTTTCTGAACTGTACTGCTGTTTTTTCAGCACTTGGAACAGCTGCGTGCAAACCGAAATAATCTAAATCCAGCACAGAAACTTATGCTGGAACAGCTGGAGAGTCAGTTTGTCTTGATGCAGCAACACCAGCAGGTGAAAACAAAAATATTTTTCTCTTCTACAAAGCTTTTGTCAGTAATAGTGTCTGTTGTGTTTCTTGAATTCTGAAGAATTTCTGTTGTACAGAGTTCTTATGCCCTTTACTACATTACATTAAATCATCTTTTTTTGTATAAAGTATAATTGTGGTTTACTGGTTGAAATGTAACAGATTTAGCTGTGTTTTATTGTAGGGCTACCAGATAATGTAAATGTTTTCAAGCCACACTTTGAAACTGAAGTGAGTGGACACATCTAAAAGCAATCTTGCTTGGAAAATACTTAGTTGTAGTAAGCTGTATTACAGCATAGCTCTTCTCTCGCTGTTTACTTCTTTCTCTCTTGGTGTCCAGCTTTAGCAGTAAAAAGCTACCGCTCAAAACTGCAGGGCCTAGAAGAAAAGTGTGCCAATAGCTTTACCTTAAAATTAGCTCAGTGCATTTGTAAAGAGCATGAGAGTCATGTTACCTCTCAACAGCCACTATGAAGATCTTGTAAATCAATATAAAATTGGAATCGACTGGTGCAATAAAGTACACAAACCTTGTACAATCTTTATTTTTTAAATTCTGCAGCTAATGTTCTTGTGCTTTGTTCATCTTCCGTTAGATGAGACAAACAGGAGTTGCACAGGTACGATCTACTGGAATTCCTAATGGGCCAACAGCTGATTCATCACTGCCTACAAACTCTGTCTCTGGTCAGCAGCCGCAGGTTGCTCTAACCAGAGTGCCTAATGTCGCTCAGCGTGGAATCCGTCCCGCCTGCCCCGGGCAGCCTATGGCTAATGGACCCTTTCCAGCAGGCCCCATTCCCTGCAGCACAGCAAGAACGCTGGGTAGTACAGACACTATTTTGATAGGCAATAATCACATAACAGAAAGTGGAAGTAATGGAAACGTGCCTTACCTGCAGCAAAACGCACTCTCTCTACCTCATAACCGCACAAACCTGACCAGCAGCGCAGAGGAGCCGTGGAAAAACCAACTATCTAACTCCACTCAGGTATACAATTTCAGTTCACCTGTAGAGTGCACTGAGGAGGCTTGATAAGCAAGTCACCGTTTGAAGTCTGTCATTTGTGAACACGTTTTCAGTTTCCTAAAGGTGACCTAGATGCAAATAAAATATACACTAGGTTAAACCTGCCTATTGCTTCTTACTGTTAAAAATCTATGTATTAAATTAACTACTTCCAGGGTAAAAAAAAGATCATAAATCAAAGAGGGCAGTTACATACTGCTCAGCTGCCTACCTTTGCAGAAGGGTT